CCTGTTCTACTTTTAGAGACTATTGGATCGTTCTGATGGCAGAAAAGTGTCGTATGCCAGCGAGTTTACCCCAAAACTTCAAATGTATTTACTGCTGTGGGAGTGAAAAATGACCCACAGACACGGACACTTAGAATGAGCAAGTTGCAGCAACCTAACAGAATTAAGTAACTACAACAAAAGTTTAAGTAAACTTAACAAGTAGATAAAAAGCAAACATAACATAAGACTATTTATACTACTAGTTATATGTTCAAGGTAATCAGTTTCCTAGATTTTTTTAAATAAGATAAACTTGTCAAATTTTACAGTGTATGTGCTTAAAATCAATACAGCAAAGGTGATGGTAAAATCACCTTCCCTGTTGTATCACATTAACCACAAAACAAGCCAAAGTTTTATTTGATGAAATTTACTTTCATTTTACAGCTGATACAAGTGACAACTTTACCAAATTGTTATATATGTTTCTCTCAACCATAGAAGATAAAAAACGTTCGATAAAAGCATCTTTGGAACATTGCATATCCGGCTTCCTATCCTCCAAACACACACACTATTTTTGGTCCCTTTAGTGTTCTCCATCAAATACAAAGCCCCCCTACATCTTCCTTCCTCACACCTCTGAAAACTTCACAATAGGTGGAGAGGGCCTCAAACTAATCACGTGGGCTCATTAGACAGAAATCCCAGCGGGAAACTGAGTTGTCTCCGCGGCAACAAACAAAATAATGCTATGTCAAAATAAAACCTATAAACACACAGATAGTATTAGTATTCCTGTTATACGCCTCCTCACACACACACGTCATGAGGCAATCATGCAGGTAGGCTCCCTGCTGCTGACAAGAATAGACCTGGGTCACAAAGCTGCTGCACCATAGGTGTGTGTGTGTGTGTGTGTGTGTGTGTGTGTGATGAGATATCATGTGGAGCAAAGACAAATGTGTGAAAGGTGTTAGGGATAAAAGCAGGAGGGATGGAGAACTGACAACAACATCAGGAGAACAGGGTAATCCTGATAATTATATAAAATCATGTCCAGATCAATCATTATAGACAGAAATGATTAATGGGGTTTGTAAATAGAATTAGTAATAGAATGGAAAGCAATATATTAAGAATATTTAAGAATTTGATCACTTACTAACACCAAAACTTTTTGATCAAAGTTGAGCCAATGTATTCATTTTTTGGAGTGTGGTTCCCAACTTTTATCATTAAAGGACCCCTTTTTTTTTAATTTAGTACACTGACGACCCCTGACTAAATTATATATTTTATATAATATATATATATATATATTTTATACACTGTAATGAAGAAGTTATTTGAACTGAAAAACAAATAAATAAATAAATGGATTCCATCATAAATTTGAAGTAACCCAAACTCAGTTTTTTAAGTTACAGAAACATAACCCAAACCCCCTAACCCTAACACAAGTACTATTTACTAGGTATTTTGTTTTCACAGTACAAATAAATATTGCAAAATTAAGTCAGTGTCAATTGAAATTACTAAAGCTACTTTAGAGAATGTTAGTTTTACTTAAAAACTGTAAAATTAACCCAAATAATGAACTTAGTAACTGCAAGAAGATTGTGTAAAAAGTTTTGTCACTGCATAAAGTATATTTTAATCATTTTTAACAATCATAAAGCCTTCTTTGTTGACAAATTCAGTGTTTTCTTATCTTCTTCTTCTTGTTTTCCTTCCCAGCAAATGCTGAGATATAAGCTGACTGTGTTTATTCTTTAAACAACTTAAAATCAAAAAGGCCTTGCAACCCCCCATTAAAGCTTTGGCAACCCCTAGTCGGGGGTTGGAACCACTAAAATACTTTAAAACTTCTGTTGATTTATTTAATATTTGCTGTATTTCAACATTTTAAAAAAATATGTATTTTCAAATAGCCATTTTCAAAAGTCTGTTTTTATATCATATTGCCATTTTGTGTCAACTCAACCTCCAGCCAATCACACACTTCATAGTAGTGGTCTTTACTCTACATGGAGGTATGTGTCCAAAACTTTGGATCAGAAACAGCAAACCTGATTAGCATACACAAATTTAAAAAAAAGAGTTGATAATGATAAGAAGAAGTTGCATTCTGTAACAACACTATAGAACAGCAAGAAGAGCATTTCTGTAATTCAAACAAGTCAAAGAGAGTGATCTGTCTTCTTTCTAGAGGATCGCTTCACGTCAGCTTCAGTAGTCACATTCTCCAGTTAATCTTCAATAATTTAAAGTCCCCCTCCACTCAACAATCAGTGTTTTTTCTTGTTTCTACAGTGTGATGTCTGAATGATGTATGTGCAGAGTTTGACACTAGAAGAAAGTTTTTTTAACATTCATCTGCTGAAAGTGGAAAGTTTCTCTGTGCTCATTGAAAAGCTGATTTTAAGGGGCGGGGCCTACCAGCATGATTAGTGACATCACAAAGTTAGTTTGGAAGTCCATTCCTGGTCCAGTATGCAACTTGTACAGTGTGATGTAGAAACTTAAAGCCACCAGTGCACATCCACTGAGAATGGACTTTACAGTGAAGTAGGAGACATCTTGTGTCCAGCAGAAAAACTTTAGAAATCAACAGACATTTGCAATATTCAAGAGATTCTGTAATTTTTAATCAAGGTAAGATGGAATAGTAGTGAATTTAAATATAGGATTTTAATGTCAAAATTGGACTTTCTTTTTATATCAGACACACATTATTGACAATTTGAATATATCTCTTAATACATGCCTGGACATGCCTCCACCAAGGATGCCTCAAGAAGGTCATGGAAAATGTTGGTGTTAGATTAGGTAGCTACAGCTGTTTCAGTGTGTCAGATACTTATTTAAACAATATTTAGAAGTATATAAATATCAGATCAGACTCAGTTATCAGAAGATACTTAAATTAAGTCCACATGAAACAGAAAGCAGAGTGCTCCTCATATTTCCGTGTTTTCCTGTAAAAAAGGCAGCTGAAAGGGAGTAGTACTGAGGAGGTTTTTTTTGCCAGAATTTGGCTCCTGGCATCCTGGGCTGGAATCAGTAAATTAGCTGCACAGTTGACCGAGCTAACAGTAGTTAGCGGTCCGCTACTTACTATCAGTCTTTTCATCAGAAACTCTGTAAATGAACC